TTGCTGGCGTTTTCGACCAATGTCAACTGCCAAGAGCTGACCTCATTATTTGTGGGACTCGAAGCCGGGGCCAGACCCCTGCTGATATGGGGGCGGTCCGTCGTCTCGCTTATGTCATCCGAACTCATCATCTCATCTACCATCTGCATGAATATTCAATTTCGCAACTTGGTGGTCATCACGTGGCTATTTGACATCCTTTGGGAAGCCCTGGTCTTCCACTCTGACCTCTTTTATGGGGTGGTGCATTGCTCCCTTAGATGGTTGGTTCTTCAATCCAGAATTGGAGCGCTGGTGAGAGGGACGGGGCCCATAAATTCTCATGCTCATCTTCTGTCTGGTGCCGGACTCTAACAAAGGCGATATTGGTTTCTCGCCTGTGTTCTATTCCTATACGTAATGCCAACCAACACGACCTTTGAAGTAGACACTCATGCTTGAAGCAGACCTGACTCACTAATGACTTTGTTGGAGGAATGCCTGACCGCCGATTCCAGTGTCAGACTGGAGAGTTCGAAGCTAAGGTACTCCGCAAAGTCTATGTAGGCAGTCCCCACGATAGAAGTGAACAGCGAGATATCGGAAAAGATGAAAGCTTTGATCGGTCATAGGACTTTATCACCTCTTGGCGGTTTCCATTCTACCCTAATCTGCGGTGGAAATATCGGCCGAATCTAGTTGACCGCTTGTAATAACTTTGTAGTGAATACGGCGAACCTTCTGCCCATCCGTCAGACCTGACTATGCTCTGCGATAAATTAGCGGAGATTTATCCGAGTTACTCGCTCTCTTGTTCCTCATAATTCAAGAGAGGGAAAAAAACCAGTCTGTGGACGATTAGCTTCTGGAGTCTGGCGGGGCGATAAAGCTTGGGAGAAAGCTTGGCACTGGTCTGTGTATTCTGCTTTGTGATCAGAAGGTTAGTTTGCCTCGGCGCAATGTCTGCGGCATTGATACATCATCTCTGGAAGATGAATAGAGTCTTTAGGGTAGAGCCAGAGGCTTAGGCTTAGGCTTACAAAGAGTCTGCTGAGATGTCGAGGCAATCCCTAATTTGGTAGGTGCCAACGATTGCTGAGAATATGTTGACTTCGTAATGATCAACTCTATCTGTCACCACGAAGATTTGTTAGTCAAGGTAAGTAGACAAAGACCTGAATGGGGCGGGATATCACGAAGTATCATCAAAGAATGAAATAGAAGGGTGGACATTGCTATAGAAAAACTCTTAAGACACTTGACTGGATTAATTGAGGAAAACTGGTCATTGGAATCGACAAGAAAGGGGAGGAAACCTCTGAGCAATCCGTTGCAACTGTGAATTGTGCGAATATTTCTGCCGATGATGTAGGTCTAAGCCCATGCCTTGAGGCATGAAGATAGAATCAGTGCAAACTCAGGCAGGATTGCATGGAGCCCAAACCTCTTCTGCGGGTTAAGCGCAATGGCAAGTCGAGATACCAATTATGAAATTGACCAGATTATGATCAGTAGCTTCTGCAAACCCAAGGATTTGGTAAGATGTAAACATTTAGCATTAAAAAAGCCTGTCAAAGACTTTTGCAACAACGCGTGCTTATCTCAGGCCGTGAATATCGAGTCCAAGACTCTTGTTTCTCAATCATGTGCCGTCCCGAGTCGATCCTCCAATAGAACCCGGCTGGCTGAAATCGCTCCAACATTTCGTTCGACGCTGATGGTATCATTTCTACACTCCGTGCTTACGCAGCCCCCTATCACTTGGTATCATGATGAAATCCAAACTTAATCGCACTTTGAGCCAATGGTACCACTGGCATCGGCACATACACCGGAGTTCTGAGCCTGAATGCAGGAGTCCTTGAACTCGTTGCCGCCGAACCCAGAGACGTACCGTGTCCGGCCGCCATCCTTAGGAGCAATAGTTGCGCAGACCTGATTACAGATGTCAGGACTACATCTCGAAATCAGTGTGGGGGAATCGGGTTAGACTCACGTGCCACAGCATTGTGGTGTTAACGTTTTGCGGGTTGTCGTTCTCAAAGATCTTTTGCGACGTCCGGTAAACATCGCAGGCCTTTTCCGTGAGACACTTATGAGATACGTCGTTGATCACACAATAGCATTTGGCGTGTTCATTTGCAAGCGCACTAGTTTCGTTAGTCATGATCTAACCGCTTAAGCTTTGGTTGCGAGCGGTGCTGACTTACACTGGAAAGGCGAAGAGCGCCAGTGAGAGGCAGAAGAATAGAAGTTTCTTGAACATGTTGTTGGATACTGGATTTGAGATTGACCACCGGATGAGCAAGGAGGGGAATTGAGAAAGGTGAGAGTCGAGCATGAAACGAAGTGATCTGTTGCGGGAATGATGTGATGTTATCAAGTACTGTAGGGCTGGGCCGAACTGTGGTCTAGACTAAACTTATGTACCTGCATCTATTATTTGGTGTGGGCGCAGGCGTAATTTAGGAAATGCGGGAGAGTTCAATTGCCATTTGAGTAGCTCAAGACCTAAGCCAGATCAGGATGGTCCCTGACGCGTGGACCAACTCGACTTAATAAACTAAGGAAATGTCAGGATAATGGCAGCAGCTTGGCCATTGCTCTGGGGAGTTCTCCACCACGATAGGGAATGATCCGACCTGAATCATGTTCCCGTGGTATCCGATGATCCCGCCGTTCCATGACGCCGGGCGGCTACTGCACGCTGCCTTATCATACTACCTCAATTAACAATATGCGGGTCATAACGGACGAGACCGCCCCCAGTCGTTGGCATTCTAGCTCGGTTTCTGGAAAAAATCTCGTATCGCGGGGTGATGTGACAGCTGAGAGCGTGAGAAGGATAAAGATAGGACGGCGTTTGCGCGAGTCAAACTAAGCGGACACTTGGGCAGAAGCTTAGTTGCGGCTCAGACAACGGCCGAGTGTTTGATATAGAAAGGCAAAATAAATTGCTTAGCCACTTAGTACGAGCAGCATTGATCAACAGATCACGGGACCTGAGCGAAACCGCTCATCACTTGAACCACACTCCACAAATAATATTCGCGAAAACAAGCAGGTTCCCAGATCCATTCCCTGGCGACGCGTGACTAGTTGGTTAACTCCATCAATTGTCACGCGGCGATATTGAATGACACATGTTAACCTTACTCGTATTTTCCCGTGCCTTCCTATCAAGCTTGAAGCAAGTCAACAAAAAGGGGGGAGACGTGGAGTTGATGCCCGTGCATGTGGAGGAAGATAGTCGCGTGACGATGCGGGCAGAATGGAACAGACTTGAAAGTTGATCAAAGGCAGAAGATGGCAGGCAGAGGAGTAATTCAATCAAAGCCGCAGTGGTAACTAGTTCTCGGCGGGAAATTCACGAAACCAGAACGTGGCTACTAATTCTAACTTCTTGGATACGGAAAGATGAAGCACTGAGACGTAATATCATTAGGAATTTGGGATATTCTGCGAGCACTCATGCACATGAAAAAATGACTCCGTCACTTGAGCAGCCGCTTTCTAAGGCCCTCCAACAAGCAGTCTTATGAGCTGTCATCCAGCTCAACAGCTCTGACTAATTCTCCAATAATTTTGCGCTCCCTAAGGTTGGTTCTGGATGTCGTTAGAAAAACCTCGGTCTATGGAGAACCCAGACTTCTTACCTATAGTCTATGCCGAGCTATCTTGGGTGCAGGCGTCAAGTCTTTGAGTCGTGAAGTCATGGCCTTCAAAAAGATTTGCTCCCCAACCCTCCCATCCAGTAACGACCTGATCACTAGGCAAAGGGTCGCAGCTGTTGGGGTTGATGCCAATGCGGAACTTGAATGGTGCGGAGTTACCGCCAAATGTGACGTTTGTCAACGCTTGGAGGTTGCCCTTTGCGTCCTTGGAGTTTTCGATGGTGCATTTCGTGCCGGCAGGGAATGTTCCACTCAAACCGCATCTAACGACTCCTGCAGGTTCGTCCCATTTGAGCCACAGCCAGTTGGTGTCAGCCCAGTTGTCACCCCAGCAGCAACTGTCAGCTGCTGCGACAGTAACGTATGCTGAGGTAGCAAAAAGTTGAAGAATAGACGTAGAACGCATGATGGAGAATAGAAGAACGAGTGCCAAAGGAATATTCTAGAGAGTTTGGTGATAAGTTCGACGACGGAGGATAATTCCGTGTATGAGTGTTGGGTGCTGTAATACTCTTATCAGACTAATGACGCTTGGACGGGGAAAGAACGTCGGACGAACGATGGAGGATGTGAGAACGGGAGGCCTGGAAGGCTGATAGCAGGAGATTGACTCAGAGTGTCTCTGGGCAGCAAGTAACTAGTAAGCCTCGAAATGAGTTGTCGAGTAATTCGCAGCTTTGACCGGTTCTGAGGAAACACGAGGAACGTTGAGGAGCAAATTCGCGTTGGCAGTTTAACTACTTCAACTCATTTGGCTCCCAATCTACCTGGACACGCCGCGTTATCTTTAATCAAAGAAAGTTGAACGCCGATCTTATTGTACCTGATTCATGTCAGGATAATACTTGCAAAGCTCTCCTTCATCAAACCTTGTTCCGGAAGGCTGGGTCGTGGCTTTAGCGCAGTTTGCGGGGAACCCGAAATAATGCGAGCACGTCCCCAAAGAGGCATCGAGCAGCGGCGGCAACTCGCCGAAGTGGATGAAGGTGCCTTTTATTTACTATGCCCTGGATTCTTGCTGTTTTCCGAAAGCTAGTGCCCCTCACTATCGTCTGTCTTTCTCTTGTTCGTTCGCGTTGCAGCTCGCACCATACAATCATAATGGTTCTCTTGAACCTTGTCACTCTCTTTTCACTCGCCGTGAGCGCGTCTCCGGTTGCATCAGTCCCGCGAATTGAGGCTCAAGTGCTTGATGAACGCGCAAATCCGACCGTTGACAGTTGTTCCTTCCATTCCGAAGATGGGTACGACACATGATGTTTCACAAGTTATCTATAGAGTTGCCACAATTGCTAATGTCTTTACCACTGATATAGCATTCAGCCTGGGTGTTGGGAGACTCTCCAGATGAACAACCATCTTAATGTAAGCTTAGATATTCACCCGCGTCTGTGGCGTCCATGCTGACAACATGACTAGGACTGGTGGTCCAAGAACTCTGCTAGATGCAAGACGGCAGAGAAGGGATTTGCTGAATGTTATCTCGATTCGGCTGTATGTTACACTAGTAGACCACCATGTTCGAGCCAAGTTGCCCCGGCTAACATCAACAAAGGGTTACATAACGTGGAGTTGTGACTTCATTGCTCTCAATGGATGCACACCGCCTCCGAGTGGCCGCAACGCCGATTATGCTTCCTATCAGGAGTTCTACGTAGGTTCTGCAAGCATCCAAACCATGCCGACTTGCTAACGAAGTCTTGATAGGTCTTCTGGAACATTTACTGTGAGCACTCGTGCCCTTGGGGGCCTGTGAAACCCACTGACATCATCGCGACAATAGCCATCAACCTTTTCTTCACTAATTATCACCAAGCTCTCATGAACGGCCAAGCTACTGCAATGTAAGTTCGTGTTAATGATGATATGATGCTGGGGTTGCTAACTTTCTACCAACAGTGGTGCGGTCGCCGAAATCGTGAAGACTGTTTCGCCACCTAAGACCAAGAACCCCAAAACCCCTCTGTTCTCGCCTATCTATGCTGTTGCACTTGGTCAATTTGCTGTAAGTATCTGAACTCAGCTCATACAAGAAAGAGATAGTTCTGACACCACAAAAGGCCCTTGGTCCTTTGCTCGGTAGCTCTGTAGCCGCTAGCATGGTCTTTGCTTCTCTTACCGGTGCCCTCGGTGGTGGAGCTGGTCTATTCAATATCTTGTTCCCATCCAAGCAGGTTCAGGAGGTCCCCTGGGAAGGTCTCTCAGCTGCTCTTTCAGAAAACGTCAACGAATATCAAAAGAATGTTGGCGCGGCATTGACCAAGATCCAAACCGATTTCGACACATTCTACTCTCTGGTTTCCAACGGCGGCTTTAGCCAGGTAAGAACACATTCTATGATTAACCGGTCCGCTCGGAGCGCTTAGACTGACCGTTTCGTGACAGAAAATGAACACCAATCTGCCTGAGAACACCGATTTCATGTACCACAACCTTCTCAAGTGGACTCTGAATCAGGCGCTGCAACAAGCAGACTACTTTGCCGTCAAGAAGTAGGATCACGGTTCTCCTCGGATTACCCAAATGTGCTAACTAGTCTAAAGCCCTGGTGTCGATCCCCGCAAGATTCCCATCGACCCGTACGACTGCACCACCCTGGATACATATGGCACCTGCGGCCCTATCTGGTACGATGGCAAGGATTCCTATGGCCTTGCGAGAGCAAATGGTAAGTATACATCTCCACGGACAGTGACCGACACACTGCGACCCCAAACTAACATCACTTGAAGACATTGGCATGGATCAGATGAAGACTATCCTGGACGCCGCATTCTCCAAGAACTGGACCACGCCGCACGAGCTCTACATTGACTCTCAGCAATGCCAAGGCAAGAATGGCTCCGAGTCCTTCGATGTGAAGGACCTGTCGCTGAGTTGCGCTGTAAGTGCTCATTGCTTGATCGCCGCTTCCCTTGAACTCTGTTGCTTACCGCAACATGAAAATAGTCAAACATCCCCGTCTGCGAATTCAACTTCGACTACAACCCGTACCAGTCGCTCATTGACCGCACCAACCCACCCGAGTTCAAGAACTGCCCTAATCAGAGAGGCTACGGCACACCCATGTTTTACAGCGATGATGCCGGTGTTCCTCTTTCGTATCTTGGCCCCTTTTTGGTACGTGATCATGCAAAATATCAACAACCAAGCGCACTCATGATTCATGACACTAACGATTGAGTCAAAAGATGTCCGGTGTCATTTATAATGAGAAGAGTGGTTGAATTAGATTACTTCAGTGGGAATCTCCTGAGAAAACATGGATTTCAGGGAGTTTCCTCAAGAGTCCTAGACGTACATTGCGAATACTGCAAAATGACTCAAATGCTGGCAACGGCCGAGATAAATTGATATGTTTAATTACTTAATTGTTCCATCCCGTTCCAAGTACTGTAATGAAACTGAGTACAGTAGCGTAGTTTGCTAAACACTCAAGTAGGAATCAGAAGCAAGCCGTGGTCACTCGATCATCCCTTCAGATGTGTGTGAAGGTTATGGCCACTCGCCAGATGCTACCATTCTGTGATTGTCAGTGCAACGGGTAGGAAATATTTAATCCTTTACTAAGGGAATACTATATCGCTATCCGCTTGACATCGTTAATGGCCAGATGGACAATAAGATACTGAAGAGCGCTCTGCGCGCTTGAAGGCTTAGTGAAACATTACCGCTATTAATACACCTCAGATTTGACATAGACATAAGTGCTTGAAGGGAAATGTTGTTAGGTGTTGTAGAAAAAAGAAAGATAGATGAGGATCTACTGATAGCAATGAGATGGTAATAGTTGTCTAAGCGTTGCAGACGGTTTCTTCGGAAAAGATGTGTCTGAGGTGAGGATGATAATTGCATCAAAACCTCGATGTACGGATAAGTTGCCTAGTCTTTGCTCAGAACCCGCCTTCACCAGTCACATGAATCAGAGGTTGATGAGAGAGGAATGTTTCCTGGCCCAGAAACAGAAGATTTGTATTGGCTAACGTATCAAGGTCATAAACTACAGCATATAGCTAGTCGGATTGATCCAAAGATCGAGCTAAGGCAACAATGTTTTCCGTGCGGAATGCCACCTGCCCGTTGGCATAAGTGCCAACATCATCTCCTTCGGAACCATTGACAACGTCTCCACCATCCGCAGAGTCAGAAGAGGACTTTTCCTGGTTCTTTGGCTTGCTGTCTTTGGTACTGCGCCCGATCAGCTCCAAGATGCAACCGGTCTCTTCTTCCTTCAAGAAAAACTGACGAAGACCGGTGGCAACATCGTAGCTAAGATCCTCTGCTGTAGTAGTCCAACCTTTGGCTCTTACTTCAGCAAAAACGGCGTCAACATCTTCGACCTCCAATGCAACATGATGAAGGTAAGCCCCACCGTGACGCATCATCAGCTTGTAAAAAACGGAATCAGGGTTCAACCCTTCAGTAAGGATAACAACCCGTTTTGAATCAAAAGGAATGCCCATAACTTGCATCAGTCCATCATCGCTACCGTCGGCAGCGGATCCCGTGTTAACAGTAAAAGTGCGAAGTGGAGTAAAACCCAACATCCGCTCGTGGAAAACCTTCATACGCTTGGTGTCGGGCATGATAGCAGCATAATGGTCGAGCTGGCGCGTTGATCCCGCTATAGAGTCCAGGACATTAGGGGAAGTTAAAAAGTCGTCGTTGGTTGGCTCTTCAGCTGGGGCCTGGCAAAAGCTCATAGGGTATCCAGTTTCCTCGCGCAGAACAATCAGCTCAGTTGAACCGTCCTGGAGAAGTCGATCTTTGAAGGTGATTCTTTGAGCCTCGAGAACCTGACGAGCCTTTACGATGTTGTAGACAGAAAATCGTACAGAAAGCCCGATGTCTCCAGGTCCGGCGCTCTCTGGCGCTTTGACAATGCTAAGGGTTGGATCGCCGAGACCTGGGAGTCGATAAAGGCTCTCATCTTTGTTGAATTTAGCGTTGTAGACCTCCTTGACTGTTTGGGCAGCTCTTTCAACCACATGCGATGTCAGGGTCAAATGAGCCATTCGCTTAACACCGAGGAGATTGACTGCTCCTGTTCTGCGCCGAGTAGTTGCGAGGTCCTCACAAGCTTCCCAAAGAGCTATGTTGCTTGCTTTGTATCCGACGCTGCCGAAAGCGGTGTTGACAAAGGCCTTGGTATCATTGGCAGATGCCTCGAGATTGGAAAAACCGTAGCCTTTGAGTGCGAGACCGCTGCAAGCTCGCATGAAGAGATTGGAGGTTCCCGAGTTGCTAATCCACTCTGGAAGCATCCGGATTGATGCAGAGTCAAGCTTAGACAGTGTTTCATTCCTGCTCTCGACAGGGTTGAAGATGTTATTGGCGCCGGCTAGGATAAATCGGGCGCCATGGGGCACTTCAGCGAATGTTTTGTCGCTTAAAGTGGAAAGGGCTCTAGGTGTGAGGATGTAGCGCTGAGCACAGGGAACAAAGACTTCGCCTTGGGATGCGGCGAGGAAGTCAACCAGGTGCTTTTCGTCAGTTGAGCCGACTCTGCGCTTAGTATACAAAGCTGACTCTAGCTCAGTCTTTGTAAGACCAGCCTCTAGGCTTCGAGGATCAATTCCCGAGACAGGATTCTTCTCGGACGTACGCCGATAGGCTTCGATGGAGGCGCAGTCTATGCCTTTGTCGTTGACTAGAAAACCATACTGGCTGGAGATGGCAACTACCCGGCCAATGCCCAGCTGGGCAGCTGCTTGGGCGAAGGTGGAACCGACGCAACCGAAACCCTGGAGAACCAGGCGAGCTTGCCCCATAAGCTCCGGCTTCGTGTGGGTAATGAGTTCTTTAAGGGTAGCAGCCATCACGTAGCCGACACAAAATTCGCTGAGGCCCCATCCGCTGTTATCAAGCTTTTCTCCGAGGAGATCATGAATCTCCTTGGGATTCGAGCCGGAGTAGCCAAGAGAACGACTAAGTGCGTCCAGTGCGGTCAAAGTGCCCGGGGAACAGTAGGCTCTGGCGTGTTTGTCGATGATGTCGTGGTCTGTGTTGAGGTCTCCCCCTGTGCCCCAGTACTCCGAAAGGACAGCTGCGTTGTCGCGAATGAAGCGCTCCAAAACAAGAGGAGCACGTGAGTCCTCATGAGGGAATCTAATGCCGCCCTTGGCACCAACGACCTGAGGCTGAGAAGAAACCGCGAGTTTGGCGCTCATAGAGCGCGCAATATCGCGAACCTCATTGAGAGTTGCATCCTCATGGAGGAACAGCCCTCCCCCTGAGTAAGTAGGCGCGGGTGAGTCGATAACTATCCAGCCTTCGGCCGGGGATAGCTTATCTTTCCAGTGCCAAACACTGCAGCCCTGGATGACCTGATGGAGTGGCATTGAAGGGGAAGTCCCATCAACAGAAGGGCCGAGTTGAGTAGTGGTCGAGACGAAAGACATTTTGAGGTAAAAAATAATGTTGGATGATATTTTGGGATTGAATCAAGTTTGGAATTTTGCTTGTTGTTGTTGCGATGATGCTAAGAAGAAGACCAGATGCTGTCGTCAACGGCTCAACCATTTATAGCCAAATTCCTGTTCATCGCGACTTACTTACATGATACTCCGGTTTGCCGCAAGAGGCAGCCCGTTACTGACAACACTTTGATTTCGAGCTTGCAGGACGGCCATGATCCATCAAGCCAACTCTTCCCTGGAAGTGAAAGTATCTAGAGAGAACTCAAAGGAGCAAGGATGGTCTTGGCGGAGGAAGTAGGCCGTGACACCATTCACTGGGCAGACAATTCAGTCGGGGGTATTAACGCAATGAGCTCTGTGGGGTCTAGAGTTGTCAGATGTCGATTTTAGCATGCTTGAGGGTTCAATACAGCTTCAACAATCTGAGAATAACTTCTAGCTTTGACATATCGGAGACAGGATTTGGTTCTTGGATACTCGCAGACCTCGTATTCGGTCTTTCTTGTCAAAGGTCAACTCATATGACCGGAAGCATATGGAAGATCAAATTCGTCATTCCGAAATACGGAAGTGACAGACCGGGCCGCTGAAAATCTGAGGCAGCGTGGAACACTCCGGGCTTCCAATCTCCTTACCAGTGTGATCGGACCTCTTCCGCCTGCATTGGGTCGGGCATCCAAAGCACTATCGTACCCTGCAGCTTTGAGATGTTCACAGGTTTGTTATTATTGCGTATCATCAGAAAAAAATCTTGAGGTTGATGCAACATCACCCCCTCAGCTTCAGCATGGTTATAAGTGGCGTGTTGACTCTCACCTCGCCTCTTGCCAGAATTCACACGGCACTTGGAAACTACTACTTTGCCTTCCAAAGTGCATGAACCTTTTCAGTTATTTTGTCTTGGCTTGAACAATCCCTTCCGTCCAACATTTTGTTCCAAGAAATATCTCAATCACTATCACCGTCAAAATGGGATCCATCACCAACATGAAGCTTTCCGCCGAGCACGACATTGCGAAAATCTTCAACTCATACGTTGCCGCAGGCGCCATCGGCACTGCTTGGGAACTCGGGCTACTGGACGAGGTCCGTACTCAAAAAGCTGTGGATATCGACGAGTTCGCGGCCAACCACAACCTGGATCTCGCTTCGACCCGCGCCCTGGTCTCCGCGCTCGCTACCTCTGACATCCTCCAGCGTCAGGGGGGAGCTGCCATGTCCGGGATGTTGCTCGAAGAGGCATACCGCACCAAAAGTCTCTTTCACTGGCTTGCTCTTGGTTCCGGCAGTTTATTCGCGCGCATGCAATACGTCATCCGCAACGAGAATCGCGAGGGCAAATTTTACTCGCGTGATTCTGCGGCAATTGCCTACGCGTGCCGTGATGCAAACGCGCAATTCATTGACCCGGTCTTCCTCGACGCCCTGAAGTCGTCTGGCGAGAACTTTACCTCTGTTGTGGACCTGGGAAGTGGGAGTGGCGAGAGGATCATGCAAGTCCTCGATCGCTATCCTGAAAGCACCGGACTTGGCATCGACATTGCTGGTCCGGCAATTGAGGTTGCTAGGTCAGATGCTGTCAAGCGTGGCTATGGTGGCCGCATCAATTTCCTGGTCGGCGATGCGCGGAAGCTTGACTATCGGGACGAGTTTGCCAACGTTGACCTTTTGACGTCGTTTCTGATGGGTCACGACTTCTGGCCGCGAGAGAAATGTGTTAGCTCTCTACAAAGGCTGCGCAAAGCGTTCCCGAGCGTCAAACGATTTTTCATCTGCGATACGGTGCGGATTCTCACAAATGATCCTCAATCGCGCCATGCAGTACAAGAGGACGATGTGCCCATCTTTACCCTGGGTTTCGAGTTTGGCCACGCGCTGATGGATGTCAAATTGCCCACAGTGGAGGATTGGGAGGGTGTTTTTGAGGATGGTGGTTGGGTTTGTGTCAAGCAGCATCACATGTTGCCTCCGTCTCTCACGGTTCTGTTCGAACTCGTGCCCCGTGACGCAGATGCAATGTAGTGCTCCGACCAACTCTAGGTATGGCATAAATATGGGATGGACCCAGGGCTTGATACATATCTATCTATTTTAGGCGGTAGAAAGACGGAAGTATAGAGACTAGTCAATAAAGTCATCAAGATCCAAGTTGTGCAAGCATAACATTACAAGTAGACGGTCACAACCACTACTCAACTCATTAGTTCATTGGCGTGAGACATGAGCAATGGGAATGGACATGGGTAAGTATGTAACTCGTACGAGAAAACGAGGCTGGGTACTACTTCTTGGCCGGTTGCCGCCGCTACTCAATGACCCCTGATCCGAAACCGTGTGCGAATAGACGTTCCCTTGCATTGAGAGAAGTTCCAACAGAGAGGGTTGCTAGGTTATCGGAAGCGGGCAGCCGTTAGCTTACGTCTGACTCAGATAGGTTTTCTACAACTTCTTCCGAAGGCCCAAAGACGAGTCAGAATCTTATTCGATATGCCAAATAAGAAGGCCACGTGTATTCAACGGTAGGCCCTTGTCATCCCGCCCGGACTGACAGGAGCTGGAGACCGAACTTAGGCCCAGATTCATGAGAGACTGGAGCCAGACCGAAGATGATTAAGCCGGCTTTCGATTAATACTGCCCACACTTTCAATATTCAACGCTCGGAGTTTCCTTCTTAGTCAACAGATCAACTTTGATAGATGATAGCTCAGACACAGGCAAGTTGAGACGAGTGGGATGGACCCCGAAAATCCCGGCGATCCACCTCATGCACTTGTGGTAGCGATACTGGAACCGCCGAACTCTGAAAATGACCGACGCAGATATCGAATCATCCGACTGCAGGCCAAGAGATGATACTAGCGCAACTTTATCTTGAGGGGACTTCCAAATTAACTCTAGCCCAGGAAATGCCGGCCGGAGTCCACTCCAGCTTCCCGTGATTCTTTGCCGTACATCATGCCTGCCCGGGCCTGCTCTGACTTAACCCCGGGCCGCTCCGCCTGGATTGACAGGGCCGGACTCACGCTGTTTTCACCCCGCAACTACCTTTAGCTCTAGCCGGATATGGATCAGTAATGCCCTTCCAGCATAGCAATGGTATTTTGCTGCCCAAGAGGTCTAAATGCTCCTTCTCTCTTGACCCTTGATTCTGCATCTGCCGTGGTAAGCGGCGGAGTTTCCGATCGGACCTTTTCTTGAGGCGGTGAATACAAACCTTTGCCGCGCGTTCCACGCTATCACGGCGGAGAAAAACAGACTTCGAATGATGAGCAAATTGTGACTGAATTTCAGCATAGTGAACAGTATCAAGAGATTTGTCTAAATGCGGAAGGTGTATCCGTTGCTTGAAGTCGCATTCCTTCGCTTCAATGTCTAGCTTGAGAGTTGCATCGGGGCGAAGCTAATTATTTCGGGTGAATTGAGCCTTCAGAAGTTCGGACCCGAAGCCCGTCCGTGTAAGTGCCCGAGCTGCACTGCTGCAGACTGCTCGTCAACATTGAAGGTTCGAGTTTCTTCATTCGGCCCGACTAAGTATTACAATATAAACATCAAATTGGCAACTACGTGCTCTTTTGAAGTTGCCGTTTGACCGTTACCACCTCGGCTGGCGTCGCGCCTCTTTATTTTAGGTCCATTTCGGTCTATCAGCAAGTGAACACACGCTGAAATTACCAATACCATCATGGTCTTCTCTTCTAGATACCAGATAGACATACCTGAAGTCGATGTTCTATCATATGTGTTTGGTACAGTCCATATCGCTGTGACACATGTTTTGTTTTCATGTGTGCTAACCCAGACTGCAGGAACCTCAGCCTCGGATGGGGATTTGCCCATTTTTGTTGATGCCGAGAAACCTGCTCAAAATCTCCGTAAGCCCGAATTGGAGACTTGCGTAAAGAGGCTAGCGGGTGGCCTCCGACAGACGTTGGGAATACAAAACGACGATGTTGTTCTAGCTTATACTGAAAATTCTGTGAGTTGTCCCACTGTCATGGATGGCAAGCATCTCCTAATATTGTGTCTCATCACTCCAGGCATGGTACCCAGTTATAATCCTTGGGGCAATCTGTGCAGGCGGGATCTTCACTGGTGCCAATCCGGGGTACACAGACAATGGTGAGTTACGAATTCATGATACCTCGGCACGAAGCAGCGAGCACATGGGTGACCCCGAATAGAACTGACCCACCAACTCCATGTTTCGGGCGCCAAGTGCATCTTCACGGATGCCGTGCGACTCACGACCGCACTGCAAGCTGCAAGGAGTGTCGGCATACCAAAAGAATATGTCGTGCTCGTTGATAACGAGGGTCGGCCTAGGCATGATAGTTGGCGCACCATGGAAAAGTTGATGGCTGAGCCATACTCGTGGGAGGCAATCAGTGATCCTCTTGTTTTGGCGGAGAAGTGAGTTGATACAAGTGAACAACAAGATGAGCGCAATGCTGACCAATTTGCAAGGGTTGCAGTCCTAAACTTCAGTAGTGGGACAACGGGAAAACCCAAGGCATGCATGATCACCCACCGCAATCTTGTTGCCAATGCGGAGCAGACACTTCACCTTGATCTAGTGAGCGAGTTGAGAGCAATTGGCCAAGGATCTTCAACTCACAATGTTCACTGCGCGTTCCTGCCTCTTTATCATGCCAGTAAGTTGCAATTCAGAACCTCGAGGTAATCACACAGACTACCGTGGCACGAAGCACTGACCACGAGCTTAGGTGGACTCATGACTTACTGCGTGGTCAATGTACGCAGATCTTGCACTACAGTCACCATGCGTAAGTTCAGCCTTGAGCTTCTGCTGAGCACCATCCAGCGGTTCCGCGTCACACATCTTCTCCTGGCCCCACCGGTAGTTGTGATGCTATTGAAAAGCAATCTCCTATCCCGCTACGACGTGTCCAGCGTAAGGTCCATGTTTTGTGGAGCGGCCCCCCTCCAGCCGGAGCTCTCCAAAAGATTGGAAGAGGTGTTCAGCGGGGGCAAAGCTCGCAGTCGACAGGGATGGGGAATGAGCGAGGCCACGATGGCAGTCACTTTGTTTGCCCCTGACGAATTCGACCCGTTGCACAAGGGCGTTGGGTATATCCTCCCCAACATGCAGATGAAGATCGTCGGTGACGATGGCCGCGAAGTTGCCTGCAATGAAGAGGGAGAAGCGCTCATTCGGGGTCCCAATGTCTTCAAGGGCTATTACAAGAATCCAAGCGCATCTGTAGAAGCGTGGACCAAAGATGGGTGGCTGAAAACTGGAGATATCGTGTCAATCCAGGAGAGTGGACTCTTGACTATTGTGGACCGCAAAAAGGTTCGTGCCCAAGTGTTCCGTGGCTTCTGAAACATTTGCTGACCATATTGTACGGAGCACAGGAACTCATCAAAGTGAAAGGCTTTCAAGTAGCCCCAGCCGAACTTGAGGGGCATCTTCTTGAGCATGAAGGAGTTAAGGACTGCGCGGTTATTCGCGTTACAAGGTGGGCTCATCCCTTTCCCCTCTGCCGCTTGCATTTGACTTACACGAACACGCGATTAGAGAGGGCCAAGAGCATCCACAAGCTCACGTTGTCCCCAAGGACAGCAACGTCACCGCAGAATCGATTATGAAATTCATGGAGAGCCGACTTTCGGCGCATAAGAGGCTTACTGGTGGAATTGTTTTTACTGAAGCAATCCCAAAGTCGGCATCTGGCAAGATTCTCCGCCGCTTGCTTCAGGATCCTGCATCGGCTAAGCTAGCGCGCCTATAGAGCCTGATTGCTTTAGACCTCATTCCATGTGTCATCACACGGCTGATATGGTGTACCAGGAGCTATGATTTCTAAGTCCCTGGCCAGACGTTTTTGAGATGATCGCGCTTCTTTTTCACGTTCACGACTTTGGATACTGTAACTTTAGATTTATGTCACCCTCCACAATACAAGCCTATCGACATAGCATGTTCGCAAAGACAAATAACACGGTCTTTAGAAGTAGTAGACATTGAGCTGCGCCCAAGAACTTGCAGCAACCAGAAGCGTCGGGCTCATTTCTTGAAGGCTTAAATCGGCTTAAAATGTCACCAAGGCTACGTGTAGAAAATTGGCCGACTATCGTCTGCTGAGTGAGATGCCCTAAGATGATTGAAAGGCCCGGTCTTGCGCTTCTTCCATTCTCAGTCGGAGATGATTGTCAGTTTATTTGTCTTCTCCGAAGCATTATAATCTCATGCTCAGGATATGAATTTCCTCGACAATAGAGCTTTGTCCATAAAGCACAGCCCTCGGCACCGGTCATGACCGTCTTTGAGCGCACAAAACTTGCCCCTGCGTCGTCCGCGACCTTTCGGCCTTGGCCCCCTAATTGGAGAAAAAAGATTGAATACTTGAAAGCAGATCTCATTTACAAAATAATGTTATATTCCAGTTTTATAGCTATCCACTCTGTCGTCTCCGCTGCGTATGGTTTAGCTGTGGAAGTTTCGAAGTGTTTGGACACTATCCAAGCCGCCTCTGCTCCGAGGATCAACCGTTTGGCCATGTGGGGCACCGATCGGGAACGGCGCGGCGCGGGGTCGCTATGCCGACAGCTGGAGCCTTGCTGACCGGCCGCCGTTATGGTATTGACTTTGTCCCTGGAATAGATCTCGACCGCCACGTGTGGCCGTGAAGTGGGAAATCACTTCGGCCTAGTAGAACTAGATTATAGCGACTTTCAAGTTCTTCCGCAAACTTCTTTGAGCAGTGGCAGAGCAGTACTGCAGATTTAGCAAGTTGGGTACTGGTCACGTAGGGAGGGCGTGGTGGATTAGCCGAGTTTGGACACCAAAACATAAGGTGTGGTCAGCAGCAGAGCAAACCATTTCAATGCAGCAGGCTTACCCGCATCTACCTAGATTGCGTTGAGTACAACCTGTCAATCATTTCAACCACATAAAGGGATGATTCAGCCAAAGCATTGATGACTGACATCGTCAGCGGCAGCATGTTAACAATACCTACTTTGCGCCTCAACCAAGGATAAGGCGTGGCCTCGGAGTCTCGGAAGATGAAGACAATAATTCAACGTCAAGATTTTGGTCGGAAAGCCACAAAGCAGAGCCCGCTGCGCCTGGGCCGTTTCATCCCCATGCCCCCCTTGTACCTGTGTCAATCCAGAATCATTCACGGGCCTAGGCGCATTGCGATTAATTCAGCCACCACCTCTCATAGGTCTGTTGGTGCACCATCTGCTTCAAATCAAGGTACGAATACATCACCCCCATCAAATCCACCGGAAGACCCATATCCTGCAAGTGATCACAGTCTGCTCTCCATTATTCATCATTGCTGAAGCAAACTTCCCATCTGTCGTACAAAAACGGAACCGTAATTGCCGGCCAGCAATTACGCCTTATTTACCACACACCCCCCCAGATTTATAGCGTTCATGGCTGGGAATCTGCGATTTCTACCAGCTGTACTTGCAAACTGGGGACTTACCCACT